GGTTTAAATTGAAGGTGACAATTATTATAGTATTTATTGCATGCCATTTAGACCAACTGATGTATATTGGACTCTGGCTCAAATGAGTCTGCCACCACTCCACATCCAAAATCTCATCCTATCAACATATCACGTTTTCCCTCATTTACTCCCCTTCAATGCCCGAATGATTATTCCTGCTCTGCAAGTATACAGAATAGGCCCCTTGTAGTGCAGTGATAGTGTCTCTACCTCTGAACTCAGAGGCCCAGGTTCAAGTCCCAACTACTCCAGAGGTGTGTAATAATATCACTGAATGTGTTGGTTAAAGAACTGGCTTAGTTGTTAACACATGCTTTTGGCTCAATGTTCTGGGTTCACGACCCCCTTCACTAGCAATTGCAGATAGTTCGGAACCAAACTTAGGGTGTGCTGCATTATCTGATGCACTATGTTGAGTTCTGAACCACAGCCATAAGTTACAATTCATTGAAGATTGAAATTAAAGCTGATTTCACACACAGCTTCATGATGATATGGTAAACACCAAGGATGTCAGGTCTTTGTGGTGCATTTAACATTAAAGGGCAGTTCAAATTGTCTCATTAGCAAGAGTTTCATAAATGTCTAGAGGTACACAGTGAGTTTAGTGATCTCAATTTAAATTTATGATATTCCATGTTGCCTAGAGGATTTGTGAGAAGAGGCCACAATTCTAGATTCTGCATTACAATGTAGTATATCGGTATTGTACCAAACCTAAGCACTGCAGCTCTTCCAGAGGCAGCTCACCACCACCTTCTCAAGGCAAGTTATGGGTTGGAAACAAATGCTCAACTTGACAACAATGTGAAATATAATAATAATTATACTACCATTTCTTAGATGTCTCCATATCAGCTTTCTCCACCACTTTGATAGAGGGCCTTATGTATGATAGAATCAATAACCTGACCAATGCGTGACTTAAGGCAGTGAACATCATTGGGTTGATGTCTATGGACCAAAGGCCATCAGAGTTTATCTTGATATAACATCCACTTTCGAAAAAGAGTTATTGTCTAACAGTAATGTTTTGTGACCCTTGGTTGATGTTATTGTTCATTAAGACGATAAGACCATAAGGCATAGGAGCAGAAATTAGACCATTCAGCCCATCGAGTCTGCTCTGCCATTCAATCACGGCTGATATGTTCCTCAACCCCATTCTCCCACTTTCTCCCCGTAGCCCTTGATCCCCTTGATAATCAAGAACCTATCTCTCTCAGTCTTAAATGTACTCAATGACCTGGACTCCACAGCCTTCTGTGGCAATGAATTCCCTAGATTCACTACACTCTGGCTGAAGAAGTTTCTCCTTATCTCAGTTCTAAAAGGTCTACCCTTTACTTTAAGGCTGTGCCCTCGGGTCCTAGTCTCTCCTACAAATGAAAACATCCACTCTGTCCAGGCCATTCAGTATTCTGTAAGTTTCAATTAGATCCCCCCTCATCCTTCTAAACTCCAATGAGTATAGTCCCAGAGTCCTCAAACACTCCTCATATGTTAAGCTTTTCATTCCTGGGACCATTCTCGTGAACCTCCTCTGAAATTGCTCCAGGGCCAGTACATCCTTCCTGAGATATGGGGCCCAAAGCTGCACACAATTAACATAGCTTTACCAAGGACAATGCCTTCACCTCACAGACCACTGACCAGACAGTTATCCGCATTGGGAAATGCAGACAAAGACTATCCGGCCATACTCTCTTTCAAAAACATGACTCACTTGAGATCTTGGTTTTCTATCTTTCAGATATTTGCTAGTCTCTTTCCCTACATTGCCAACTATGGGTTGGTTGGTATTTCTCACCACTGAGCTACAAAGTTCAAGTTCAAGTCCCACACCAGGGTGTGAGTCTGTCACTTCAGTGCAGCACTGGGGAGAAGCTGCACTGCCAGAGGTGCCACATTTCAGGACCAACTCATTAAGGTCCGAGTGTGGATGCAAATTACCCAATGGAAATATTTTGAAGAAGAGCAGCCAAATTCTCTTTGGTATCCTGAACAATATTAATCCCTCAACCAGCATTACCATATTGAGGTTTGGGGGAATCTGCTGAATGCAACTTGGCTGCTGTATTTTCCACTTGGCAATGGTGATTATGTCAAATTCCTTGGTCATGAAGGGCTTTGAAAAGTTTGGTGTTTGTGCAAATGCAATAATATATCCAATAATTAATTAATTAATTGAATCAGATGAGACTTCACACAATAATAGGGGCTGAATGTCCACTGGGTGGTCACAGTTGTCAGGTACAAGACAGCAATCATAGTAGATTCATTAAGATGTGGATTCAGCAATCTAGAAATTGTTACTGATTTTCTCCCAACATTTCTTACCCCGATTAGGAATATAATGAAAAAGGATGTGTTTGCATGTTCACAGAACATTGTAACGGAATTGGCAGTAAATTATTGCAGATGTTTGGAACCTGTAATAGCTCTGATGAAGGGTCAGCTAGACTCAAAATATTAGCTTGCTCTCTTGGATGCTGCCTGACCTGCTGTGATCTCCAGCACTTTTTGTTTTCATGACAGAATTGGGACTTGAGCTGCTTCTAACAGAACTAATCTCTTCAATTTTCTCATTCTGTTGTCATGTTTGAATATTCATGAATTATCCATTTGTAAGATGTTGTCAACTCTGCTATACCACTGGTACTGTCCACAAATTTCACTCCATAAAGAAAACCTGAATTTTAAAAATCCCCTCACCAGTTCTCCCATTCTTCCGACGGTGAAGGTTTTAAATTTCTGCCAGTTACTGCCTCAGGGAAAATTTCTCCTGCTTACCTCATCAACTTCCCCCTCCCCCAGCAGTTACTGGCCATCACTTCCAAACCTCTTCACCCTGAGGATTAATTCAATGTTTGCAATGTCTGCACTTTTCAACAACAAGCGCAAAACTGTGGATGTTCTAAATCAGAAACAAAAACTGAAGTTGCTGGAAAAGCCCAGCAGGTCTGGCAGCATCTGTGGAGAGAGATCAGAGTTAACTTTTCGGGTAATTCTGATTTCTGTCCATAGATACGGCTAAACCTGGTGAGCCATTCCAGCAATTTCTGTTTTTGTACCCAATGAAATGTTTGAGGATCCTTTTTTCATGTGCATAAACACAGCAGGTTTGTTTTGGTACACAAACTTATCACATTGTTGTCTGTGGGATCTTGATTTTTTTGGAAATCTCGTTAGGGCACTGCTCCTCCTTCAACAACAACTTTGAGGAACATTTATATAGAGCCTTCAATATGGGAGCGCACTTCATGCTTCTACAGCAGGAGCCATGATCAAACACTGAGCCACGGGAGGAGATCCTCAGGCAGCTGACCGAAAGTTAGCTCAAAGGAGCAGAATTACAGGAGTGTATTAGACGAGGAAGGTGAGGAAAGGCGCTGAAATTAGGGAACAACTGGGGGCGCGGCCAAGAACTAGCAGCCAGAATTCAGATAGTGCCTTGGGATTGTGAACATCCTCGTGGAGCACCAGAATTGGGATGGAGTTAAAAAGCTAACTGCAAGGACAACAGGTCTGTTCTGTCGAAGGGTCACCGGTCTCTGAGTCTCTCTGCACAGATGCTGCCAGATCTTTGAGTTTCTACAGCAATGTCTGGTTGTGTTTGTTTGGGCTCTGGTTCTGGAGCACGCGTGTCCTCAACACTGGACTCAACCAATCTCACTAGGCGTTACGCTCACAGCAGAGCTCATTAAAGACTCTCTCTCTCTTTCTTTGAGTTACAATTCCTGCCCATCTGATCCTTCGAGTCAGCCATAGGCAGCGCGTTCCACTGGGGCTGGGGTGTTGGGAGAAGCCACTGAGAATCAGTCACTCTCCGCCAGTGAGGGATAGCTCAGGTTGGAACATCCTCCCCTTGTCCGGGGTAATTAAAGGGAGCTGAAGTACAGATTCCCCAGAGAAATACCACCCCCCCCCCCCCCCCCCCAAAACACACAACCCAGAAGAGATGTATTGTACTTCTCCAACGTGGCTTCAAAGCAAAAAGATCCGATCGTCTCCATGAAACATGAATAAAGCTGGAATCTGCCGGCAGAGCCCAGAATGTGTAGGAGAAGCTTTGAGAGACACTGCCCCCTGGACAAAGCACATTAACACGGACAGAGTCGCCAATTCCGAACTCTGCTCAATGCTTTCAACGAAACATTGCAAACATTTCAACATCAAAACACAACAGTCTCTCGTTTCTAACCCCACAAGCCTTTCCACAACCCGCCAATGCTAACGGGGCATTGTTGAAGGAAATCTCACAAGGTTTGGGAAAGCAGTCAGGCCAAACCGAAACCCTCTGCTAAAAAAAAGAGGAACCCTTAAATTAATATTCCCGGAGAAATGAAGCAGGCAGTTTCTGTTAGCAATTCTCAATGAAAAACTGACTCAGATTGAATGCAGACATTCACTGATGGAAGTGCGGGGGGGGGGGGGGGTGGGGGGTAAGGGGACAGTGTTCAGCTCAGTAACAATGCCAGCAGAGAGAGAGGGGTGGGGATTTAAGGCAGGGCACGTTAATATCACAACCCACATTGTCAGCGTGGTCACATTCATCTATGAGACCTCGTGTAAAATAACACAAAGCTGCGAAGCATGAAATCCCAAATAAATTATTTTATTGTGAGCTAGCTGCAAATTCTTCCAGTCTGTCAGCCGCCTTGTCAATCAAACCTCATCTCGCAAATAAACATCCGCGTCTCTCTCTTCAGCTTCATCTTTGTCCTCTTGCAGCTTCTAAAAAGTGCCATCAGCTTTAAAATCTTTTACTTTTTTTAAGAAAGAAAAGATCCAACTCTGTTGACTATGTCCTCCCCCCCGGAAAATTGGGGATTTTCGGATTGAAGTGGGGGTAGAGTTTGCCTGGGGATTTTTACTATTGTTTGATGCTGGATCCTCCCCCCTCTAAGGCTCCGATTGGACACGGCTGTATTACCGTGGCCCCTTTCCCCACCTCCTTTATCTGTTGGGGCGTTGGTGCATATTAGACAGAGGAGCGTTTTACGCAGTTCATTTCTGTAGATGGGGACCTGGTGAACGGATTAACAGACACACGGAGAAAGAGAAAGGTTCAGCTGTGGGGAGAACAGAGAATTTAAGAGAGAAGAAAAGACTTTCTCTGAGTCTGCCTTCTCAATGCTATTTGTGAGCTGAGTGGAGCTAGTGGCTGGGTTACAGCTTTTGCCTGTGCACAGGTTGCTTTTCAGAAACCTGTGTCTCTTGAGTTTGTGCATCGAGTCGGCGGCGCTAGTTCCCTTTGTTTGAGTCGGGGTGGGTGTGTGTGTGTGTGTGTGAGTGAGAGTGTGTGAGAGAGAGAGAGAGCGCGAGAGACAGAAACAGACCGTACTCAGCATGGGAAGCACACTGACTAAACCAAAAGCTCAGGATACAGCTGGAGTAGCTGGCAAAACCAACGGCCAGGTAGGATTTTAATTCTCTTTGTCTATAAATTGTTTAATTTTGAAATGACATGGGATGTTTTGTAGCGACAGGGGTGTGTGTGGGGGGGGGGGGCGTGTGGATGTGTAGCCTTGATACAAACTTGGAATTTCAAATCCACATTGTTTTTCTCAAGCGGGAGTGTGTGGGGTTTGGGATTGAACTGGGGCTGGGTGGGGGAAGATATTGTAAGAGGGTTATGAAGGATTTCTTTTTCTTAAAAAAAAATTTAAAATCCTTTTTGTGGGATTTAAGATTTAAACCGTTCCCAGGGCTATTCACCGTGGAAATGTTTGGGACAGTTTATTTTTCACGTGAAAGTGGAAGCTTCCAATCTCAAACCTGGGGGCAATAAAGTGGGGTGGGGGGTGGGAATAGGGGGTAAACCCGGGAATAGGGGGTAAACCCGGGATCAGTGCAAGCGCAAAAAGAGAAATTATTGCAAAAGCTCAACATCTGTAAAAGAGAAATTAAGAGTTAACGTTTTCCCCGAAAGTTCTGAGGAAGGGTCACCGGACCCGAAACGTTAACTTTGATTTTTTATTTCTCTTCCACAGATGCTGAGCTTTTGCAGCAATTTCTGATTTTACAGCATCCGCGGTAACTTTTTTTTTTCCCAGTGCAGGCTCCGCCGTTTTGTTTTTCTGTATTAAATGGGGAGGGGGGGGGGGGGGGGGGGGGGGGTGGTGGTAGGGTTAGTGTTAGTTTGTGTTTTGCCTGAGGTTAGATTTCACAGCCGGGAGTGTACTGGCGGATCCGGGTCTGGCGTTCGCCTCCCGGCCACCCACAACAAAAGGAACTTGCTCCGATCCGAGCCCGATTTTCACGGGATTTTAATGACCGGCGAGAACCTGGCAGCCCCTTCCTTCAATCCCGGTGATGCTAGCCCGCGCCGGGGGCTGGGCTGAGCGGAGCGTGTGTTCCCAGTTGGATTTTTTTTGGGGGGATTTGGCGGAAAATTCGGGCGGTCTTTGCGCCGAAGGACGGACGGGAGCGCCGCCTGTCGGTGGAGGGCGGGAGTGCGGCGCCTGAGCGCAGTCTCCCCCCTGGGGGGGAGGGGGGGGGGGGGGTGGGAATGCGAAACGCAGTGGCCCCCCTCTCACTGTGTACCTTTTCCGAAGGAAGCAGAATAAGTGACTCAGCCCCAGGTTTCACTTTCAGAGTGGACAGCCTTTTGCTGTGGGGGGGGGGGGGGAAATCCCCCGGCGGACCTGGGAAAGTTTCCCCCCCTTTTTAGCAACTACACGATCCAGTTTTGAGTTGCCCTTTGGATTTTTTGGTACTTTCCCCAGGGCTGTCTTTTTTTTCTCCTGTTGTCAGTTTCAATATCACTTCATCCGAATAATATTTACTGGGGAACACGGCCCTACTCAGACTGGTAGCCAGTGTTTGTGGATATTTTCTCTACCAGCCTGTTCGAGGTGTTATTACACAGCTTGGGAGCAGGTGAGGACTTGAACCCAGGCCTCCTGGCCCAGAGGTAGGGACACAATGTGCCCAGTTACTGGTTGTACACTGGGTGTTGCTGGTGAGATGCTTGTGTTTGACTTTTGTTTTGAATTGGGGAGTGTCAATGAATTAGTGTAATTCACTCTTCCTTCTAAGGCTCACTGTAAACCATGTGCCAATCTCATTACAGGAAAATGGCCATGTGAAGACCAATGGTGATGTGTCTCCAACTAAAGCTGATGGAGAAGCGGCTGCGGTACCAGCCAATGGAAGTGGAGCCAGCGAGGGATTGAAGGAAGCCACTGAGAGTCCAGGCGATGCTATAGAACCAGCACCACCTGCTGAGGGGGAAGGTGCCAAAACTGAAACCACTGAAACCCCCAAGAAGAAGAAGAAAAAAGCCCTGTCTTTCAAATCCTTTAAGCTCGGCAAAATGTCCTTCAAGAAAACCAAGAAACCAGAGGCGGCTGAAAACAGCCCCACTGAAGATAAAGCCGAAGGCAAGGCAGTGGAAGAGACGAAAGCAAGCAGCAGTGAAGCTAAAGAGAATGCTGCAGAGGAGCTGAAGGAGGAGAAACAGGCAGAAGCCAGTGCTTCTGAGGGACAAGAAACCAAAGCAAATAATGAAGAGTCTCAGACTGAGGAGACAGTCCCTGCAAAGGAGGAACAGACTTCAGGAGAAGAAATCAAGCAGGAAGCAACTGAGGAACCTACAAAACCAGCAGAAAGTGAGGAGCCTAGTTCAACACCTGCATCAGCTGAGCAAAAGGAAGAGTAACTCTGAAACTGTTTACAAACTTACTCTGTGCCACGTGTTCACATGAGACCAATTTGCCCCTTCCAGCAGTCAACCCTAATCATGGACATGCACACAGCCCACTTCTTTTGTTGCTAGATCTGTTCAGCCAACTTTAGTCTTCAAATTGTCTCAGTATTAAAGTTTGCCTCTTTTCACCTTTTTTGAATTTGAAATTGTATTTTCCTGGGAACAGCTTGGGTGCAATAAATATCCACTTCCCCAGTTTTGGGATTTAAAATTAAGTTTATTGAAGAAATGAGAGGATGTGACCTGGCCAATGCTGAATTCCTTCAATTGTCTACACGTGGCATTAATCCTTTTAGTCACACGATCTGAACACTGATGATATAACTGGACCTGGGTTTGACTGACACACTTTTGGGAAATCCCTTTTCATCAGTTCTTAGCATTTGCAGCCCTGCTTTGTTTCCCAATTTGAGACATTTTTGTGCTTTTTAGGAAAACAGCAGTTTTGATTGAAGCTTCTAGATTTTTTGTAGTTTTACAGTCTGACTACAACACTATTGAAATTTTAAGTATACTGTGTTCCCATTAATTTTTTTTGAGGGGGAGTGCAAAGAGTTTTAAATGTGATGTTTTTTGCTGTTTTTTTTGTCCTGTAAATAAAACTTTGGCCAAATTGATTTGCAATTTTTTATTGCTAACTTTTAAGGTGGTATAACTATTGTAACATTAAAAGGAAAAATAAATTTCACCTGTGGACTGTTCAAGTGTATTTCAACTTTCGCTTACTACAGTGAGTTGGATGTGAGTGACTATTCTAACTTCTCACAGTCCAAGGTGGTTTACATTATACATTCTGTGAACCTCCCAGTAGGTATGAGTGCTGAACTATTTCAGGAAGGAGGTCATTAACAAATTGGGCTCTTGAATATAGTCCAATGATATTGGTTTTTAAGTTGGTCAAAGATCAGAAATAGATTTCCATGTTTCATTTGTCCTCCTCATTGTGGTAATTGTACAGTTTTAAAATAACTAATAAACAAATGGAGGAATCATTGTTTGTACTGCAGCCATTGACATCTCTACTATAAATCACGTTTTGAAGAAAACTTAATTCTTGGCAAGTATTGTCTGCCTGAACAGACAACAGGATGAGGCTTTTCAGCTACATGACTGTCTTCGGCCATCATCTTTGGTTATAATCAGCCATGACTCCAAATTCCCAACTAATCTATGAAACCAAACAAACTTGTGAATTCTTATCCTTTTAAGATTGTGCTCTGTAATCATGGTGGGTTTTTTTTTGTCTTTAATCCTTAACTGCTCGTTTTAACCATTCATTTCTTCCTCCAGTTGGAATCAACATTGAAGTATGGGACCTGAAATCAAGGCAGCTTTAATAGGGTTAGGGTTAGGCTCTGCTCCTATGATGCTGCTTGGCCTGCTGTGTTCATCCAGCCCTGCACCTTGTTGTCGCGGATTCTCCAGCATCTGCAGTTCCTACTATCTCAGCTTTAATATCTGTTCTTGCACACTTTTATTTAGAAAGTACAGCCTTCCCTGTTTTCATGTATTGGGCCTTTTTGTTTTAAAACAGCTGCTCTTTGTCTTTGTTCCATACGTTCTCTACAATCATCAGTTTGGGATCAAGGGCTTTGATTTAATCTTAAAGAATTGACTGAAGTTGTGAATATTCCTGTTTGAATGGACATCATCCAAATAATCATTGCTGATCTGAATTGCTGGTGATGGTTTGTTTAACCAGCTAATGCTGGGGCACAAGTGTCTGCATGTTATTACCACTGATTTTGCTCTGGGATCAGAATCAACAGAGGAATCTGATCCACTCCAGTCCTGGGAATCTTAACTGATTACAAAAACACAACTCAGCTAGGTCAGTTATTTAGCCAGTGATTTTGCATGGAACCTAAATTTCCTTGTAATTTTAGAATATTATACCTTAATTTCTGACTGTAACCACCTGGACAATTCTGTCAGCTGGTACTGATAAGTGGATGTTTCCCCTTGATTCTTTTGTATTACAGGTTGTTCAAATTGGAGAATAGCTGACATACCTGCTGAATGTGGGTAAGTATAAGGTATTGCTCAGAATATCCACTTGAGGTGCCAAATGAAGGACACAATATAGGTGACTGAAAGGCAAGTCGGAGTGTACTGTATGTAATACAGAATGTCCGTGGGGCATTGGTCATTGGCATCAATGCAACTGGAGTAAAGGACTGGGTAATATTGGTGAAAAATCTTCCAACTTTTTAACATTAAAAAAAATGCCTAAGTGAAATTGACATTGCTATTTGTGGTGGTACATTTTGGTAAATGCTAAGATACCTTTAAGGATTTGGTTGGATAGTAAATGAAGCTGTTTCCACACATCCCCACCCCAATAATTCAAGCACCCCTTTGCAATAGAAATAGCTGTTTGGTCTTTGAAGCTGATGTTAAAGATGGCAGTCAACAGTTGGCTCAAAGGGCAGAATGTTCTATATTTGACTTTGTTTTATCTCCATTTCACCTCCTTGTCCTATCACTTGGTTCCATTAGTATCCAAAAAGTTACTTGCTGCCTTGAACAAAACATCTATAGCTCTCAAAGTAGAGAACTACAAAGGTATACGCAACTGAAAGATGTTGGAGCCATTGAATGGGACCTGCTAACCATCACCTCCACTTGCCTGCATTGTCCCAACTTACAAATATGGCTATCCTTTGAGTCTTTCTGTGACCATTAATGTTGGATTCCAATATGATCTCTCTTTTCAGTTGATTGATGTGATTCAACTCCTCTCAAAGTAGAATATTTGACAAACAACCTCTGGACCTGGAGTTTTACATCCTCCTGAAAATCGCAACTAGAATGTGTGGCGTTTAAAATAACCTCCTCATCTTTTGGTGACAACAAGGTGCACAGCTGGATGAACATAGCAGGCTAAGCAGCATCATGCTCCTATGATGCTGCTTAGCCTGCTGTGTTCATCCAGCTCTGCACCTTTTTTTTTTGTCTTGGATTCTCCAGCATCTGCAGTTCCTACTATCTCTGCTCATCCTTTAGCATCATTTTGTGGAGAGAATTCTTGCATTTGGCATTCTAAACTAATGAGTGAAAGCTTGACTTAACTGGTTAACTGTCTCCATTCACAGATGCAATCAGACTTGTTGAATAGCTCCACAGCAATCTTGATTTTATTGCTGAAATAACTGCCTCATCAACTGAAAAATAACTCCTTAGCAATGTAGCAACTGCAGATGGTTTTGTACTCAGCACCTCCTGTGGTGGTTGTTATGTATCTGAGTAGTATAAAATCAGTTGTTTTATCCCTCCCAACTAACTTCCTTTACCTCTTGCATACTCTAATTACTTCACTTTACAAGTTGTAGATATTTTTAATCAGCCTGTTCAGACAAGATGAGACGTACCTCTGGAGCCGGTGCTACTTCAACCTAGACTGTCAGGCCAGAATTTACACATTGTAATTTTGTCTACTGGAGATCAGCAAATGTACACAATCAACAGGGCTGACTGGATAATGGTAAAGAAAGCCCAAAGCTCTTTGGCTGTTGAACTGTCCTTTACAATATGGGCCAGCTATTCACTCATATAACAAGGGGTGGGGAGGTGAGAAATGCAGATACAGAAACTACTGGAGAGAATCACCAGGTCTGGCAGCAACTGTGGAGAGTCCAGTGACCCTCGGAATTCTGAAGAAAAGTCTAGACACGAAACATCAGCTTTCCTACTCCTCTGCTGCTGCCTGGCCTGCTGTGTTCATCCAGCTCCACACCTTGTTATCTCACAACCATAAATCGGATTCATCTCTGTAAATGCTGCCCAGCAATTTGTTTTGTTTTTGAGGGTTCAACAACTCACATTTAAACGTGCTTTCAATGATTCTAAGCATTTTTACTCAAAGCATTAGGATGACATAGAAGGGAGTATGAGCTCCTACAATTGAATCAAAATATTTAATTTAAGCAATACAATTATCCTATTCCCAGGTACTTGTGATTATTAAACAATTGGTGCTGAATTATAGTTACCATACTTGAAGAATGAGGTAATGCAAAAAGAAAAATTGTGATTAGTAGCACATCCCAAAAAGTGCTTCACTAGGCACGCTTCCTGCTGTCAGAGTTCCACAAGGAATAACAAGGGTGCTCTGGAGTAAATTGTCACTGAATGTGAGCTCCCAGGTAATGGTAATGTATCCCATTGCAGCTGGTCCCAGTGACCGAAATGGCAGATCCAATAAAGGTAGAATAAGCTATTGTGATCTTCTGGGGAGAAGGAATTAACGTTGTAAGTACATACACGAAAGGAAACCATGCCCATATACCACGGAAACTGCCTGTTGGAGATGCTTTTAGAGGCACTCGATCCACTTTGCTGGTATTCAGGGTGTGAGCCTTGCTGACAAGTAGGGCTCTCAGAATAGAAACCAGAAGAAATCCAGCTCTCTATTCCCACCACCTCCCTCCCCAAAAGCCTCTGGGGTATTCAGACAAATCTGTAGCATCCAGAATTTTTTTTCATTTATGAGATGACGGTGTCACTGGCCAGGCCAGCATTTATTGCCCAAAAGAGTCAACCACATTGATCTTGGTTGGAGTCACATGTAGGAAGACCAGGAGAGAATGTCAGATTTCCTTCCTTAAATGACTTTAGTGAACCAGATGGGTTTTACCTGACAAGCGACAATGATTTCATAGTCATCGTTAAACTCTTATTTCCATTTATTGGATTAAAATTCCACCTTCTGCCATGGTAGGATTTGAACACTGGTCCCCAGCACTTTGCCTGGGTCTCTAGATTAATCATCCCGTGATAATACCAGCAGGCTATTGCCCACTTCATGCCAGTTAACTCATATTTTTATCCTCTGGCCCTGAAAGATTCCAAAGCACCATTTTGGGGTTTGGAGAGATGCTGGTGAAAGTCAACCTCAGCCCAGACTCTTGGCACCATTCAGTGACCAAGAGTGGATAATGCATGCCCTTCACAATGCTACAGAGATGCTTCAATGTGAAGGGACAGGCTGGGTCTAAGGGATACACAGTCTCATTCAGAGACTAACAAAACAAACAGGTTTAGGAAACATTAATCTCACCTGCTCATGTCAAAGATGGCCCCTGGGTGGGGTGAAACATGCGTAGCACAATTCTCTGATGATTTATGGGAGAGAACATGCAATATCTGGAAAGGGCTGGTCCTGGGGGTTGGGGTTTATGAGAATACCATACCCAAGCCATGCATCTCCTAGGTCAGGGTAAAGAACAAATACTCGAGGCAAGTCAGTAGCCTGTTTGGTGCAATGGGAAGGATTGTGAACATGACTGCATAGAATGGGAGGGTGAAATATACACCACATTGCCCCTTCTTTACCATATATTAAACGATTCATTTTGTTCAAATTCCGCCAAAATGACTTGTCACGTGCTTGGACGAATCCTTCTTTGTGGAGTGGAGTGAATGGAGTAGTGGAACTGTGACAGGTAAATATTTACCAGATTTATTGTGTTGATATATTATGGAACCTTTTCTTTCTGAGGCCACGGCCATATTCCTATTCATTGTATTTTTTTAAAAAAAAGGTTTATCTACAGGCATAAGAGTTTGGAAATACAGAGACACTCAAAAACAGTTTACATTGAAATGTGTTAAATTGTCTTCACGTCGCCATTTCAGTGTAACGCAGAGAAAATACTGCTCTGAAGAGCTAGCTTCTCAATGACTAGTCAATATAAACAAT